TGAGGCTTTCTACTCCCGTAAAGATTTACACCCTTGGAAACCCTGTACAGGGTCGCTATGGGTCGGAACCGACTCGACGGCACTTAACAACAACAACAATATGTAGAGAGAGTGAAAGATGGAGCTCTGGTAGCATCTTGGTTACGAGTCAGGCTGATAACCTCAATGTCAGCAATTCAAAACTACCAACTGTTCCACATGAGAAAGATGCGGCTTTCTGTTCCCATAAAGATTTACAGCCTCGAAAATCCTATATTGGGTCATTATGAGTTGGAACCAACTCCATAGCACACACCTACAACCACTATATAGAAAGAGAGACAGAGAGAGAGAGAGAGAGTGAGTGTCAGTGTGGTGATGTTGGATAACAGAAAAACTCACCAGCTACTCCTTGGAAACCTTATATATAAGGTCGCTATGAGTCCAAACCAACTCAATGGTACTTAACAACAACAAAGGGAATTACAAGTTAAAACAACAACAAAAAATGCCACTACAAAGGTACTAAAATCCAAAACAATGAACACCAAATTCTGGTGAGAACATGGAATAACAGGATACTTTTGAGTTTCTTAAAAAGGTAAACACAGTCTTACTAAACAGTTGAGCAATTGTGCTTCTCCAACTCAACGGCACTTAACAACAACAACAACAACAACAACAACAACACAAAGTATGAACACAGTGTTTATAGCAGCTCCATGGATTATTTAATTATTTGAAGTGGTTCTTTTTTGTAACTCTTACTAAACGACATTTCCCTGCTGGGTCTGAGTTAAGAGAAAACAGGGAAAGATGCTTATAGGATTATATGATTCAATTGTACATTATTGTTGACAGGATTCATTAAGAACTTCCTTGTTGTTAAGTGCCATCAAGTTGGTTACAACTCATAGTGACCCTGTGTACCGTATACAAGTGTTGCAGACCGTGCAGAGGTTCGAGGCCCTATAGGCCTGAGCGTATCAGATCTAGCCACTTGGCAGTTAATAGAAAATTGTTTTTCATCTTAGTGTTCAGTTATATTTATTTAATTCCAAACATGAGCCCTGGATGTCCACAGAGAAATG